AACGATTATCGAATTATCCGTTATTACTGCCAAGTCAACGCGAACCTCAACTACTTTGCTTATCGATTTCGAGGCTTTTGGAATAGGATTTAGTAAGAGGAAGTCTACGTGTGCCATTTGAGTTCCCTTTCTATACTGTACGCTAAAATCGAATGCCTGCAAGAACGCCCACTATCGGTGTACACGTGGTGTCAGTTCTGCCTTGGTGCGACTCGCTTTTTAAGAATTACAGTCAGTATGAACGACGAACTTTTTACCATGCAGATAATGTCAAAAATGTTTTACAGCATTATACACAGATAAGGTCTCTAGCTCATATGAATGATATTTTGATTCTGAATCCGATGTACACTTGCTAAAATATTATATTTACTAAACCTGTTGTTATACGGCTGTGTGGCATGCCAGTAATGAATCGATAGTTCTTAATATTAACTTATCATTATTAGCTAATTCCAAATTATCGTTAATCAGATTTTCTAAGATGGTTATCGAAGTTTCATTATTCACTACATTGACAATTTGATTCATATACATTGTGAATTGGTTAGCATCAATCATGACACCAAAACCTAGCTGCAATATTTTTCGACCAATTATAATATCGTACTTAAGATAATTATACACTACTACATAAAAAAGGACTTCCACATTAAATTCGGAAATATTTACAGTTGTCAATATTTGTAAGCTACTTTTAACAATGTTATCACCTATTCTTCTCAGTTCTACCGTATTATATATCCTTTTCCAGCCGGCTTGTTGCACAGTTTTCTTTGTCCAAAGATCATTCGGCACCCGAATCGAAGAAGAAGATAAAACTCTCACCCATTCGCTTCATAATACCAGTTGGCTCCAACACTGCACACATGTCGACTCGCTTCCCGTTGTTGCAGTTGTTCGCGGAAGTCGTTCGCTTTGTACATGGAGATGCAATGTGACCAGGATTGCCACACTTGAAGCAAGTAACTCCTGACCTCTCCCGTCCAGCCAAGGGTTTGCCAGTATGATGATTTGGTTTTGCGTCTCCAAAATTGCCTACAACACGCTGGCGATGGCGAGGGGGATCCCACTTCTGATGTCCGAGGGTCTCTTAGCCGCTTCGCGAGTGGTTTTGTCCGTCGCAATTGCTTGTGTTGCCCGTTCGAAGGTTCCCAAAAGAATGAATTCTGAAAACTCCACTACTCTGCACAACTCTATCGTGTTCTTGTCATTCTGTAGTCACTTGTCATTTTTATTTATTGCAACAACAATTGCGCCGCACTCGGCTAAGTTGAGTTGCCACCTAGCCACGCTCTTGAAACCCTCTCTCAACTCATTATTTCTAGTGACATTGTAGATTAATTATTATTATTATTATTAATTCTCTCGACATATATAACTTGTTCTTAAATTCCACCACAATATGAGTTCCCAATTTATGCGAATCAGCTTACCCAATCCATTTCAAATAAAATATCACATAGATTTCAGTTGGTAGTGTTAGGTGATTTTAGTATACCTAGTGTGTTTTGGTTCGAATCCAGAAGGCGTTTGTCTTTTAAGATCGTCCCCACCCACGTAACTGGAATATCTTTATCACACAACTCTAAAGCAGACTGTAGATGCAGAAACAGAGTTGAACGGTATGGAGAAAGGATCTGCTGCTATGGTAAGGCAAACGTTCATCGGTTTAATACTTTTATATATGTCTATGACTGTTCCTGTTTTTGTCGGAGTTTAAGAGAAAGTTCACTTCTCTTGGATCACAAAGTTAAAGAATACAATTCACTGCCCAAATTATTTACCTTATTTTTGGAAACTTCCCACTTTTTTTGAAAGAGTCATTTGTTATTTCCCTTCGTAAGAATCAAATACAAGCAATTACAGAGATACAGATATTCAAGTTGTCCGCTTTGCCAAAGCTAATGTTTTTACACCCTACTTGCAAAATCTTTGTTGATTAATTATTTTATTTATTATACCCGTTACTCGTAGAGTAAAAGGGTATATTGTATTCGTGCAAAAGTATGTAATAGGTAGAAGGAAGCGTTTCCGACCCTATAAAGTATATATTCTTGTTCAGGATCACTAGCCGAGTCGATCTAGCCATGTCCGTCTGTCCGTCTGTCTGTCCGTCTGTCTGTCTGTCCGTATGAACGCTGAGATCTCGGAAACTATAAAAGCTAGAAGAATTGGCATTTTGCATGTAGATTTTAGGAGTTCCTACGCAGCGCAAGTTTGTTTCAAAATGGTGCCACGCCCCTCTGACGCCCACAAGCCACAAGCAGTGGCCACTGTTTTGATGCTATTATGAAAATTTTAATTGATATGTATTTGTTTCGTCAATACCTATCGATTGGCCTAATAAAAGTTTACCACGCCCACTCTAACGCCCAAAAACCCATTAAACGCTTAAGCCTGGCTAGCGCGGTACCAATGTCTTGGGGTAGATGGCGCAATAAAATACAGCTGGAACAGCTGGCCAAGGTGCTCAACAGAGTCAACGTTAATTCTCGATAAGGATTTCTATTAAAGGAAATTGCGATGGTTTTCATTTGTCAATACCGAACTATATCCCAAGAACTATGCAAATCAAATCAAGTTAGCCAAATTGGAGGTCTGAGTCAAACAATGGCGTATGTGTGTATGTATGTAGCATATACATATGTATGTATTTACATTGTACACCGTTGCAATTGCCCGGCAATTATAATATTAAGTTGTTTAGCTGAGTAACGGGTATCTTATAGTCGAGGTACTCGACTATAGCGTTCTCTCTTGTTATACCCTTGCAGAGGGTATTATAATTTTGGTCAAAAGTGTGCAACGCAGTGAAGGAGACATCTCCGACCCTATAAAGTATATATATTCTTGATCAGGATCACCTCCTGAGTTGATATAGCCATGTCCGTCTGTCTGTTTCTACGCAAACTAGTCTCTCAGTTTTAAAGCTATCGAGTTCAAACTTTGCACACACCCTTCTTTCCTTTGCACGCAGTATATATGTCGGAACGGCCGGAATCGGCCGACTATATCCTATAGCTGCCATATAACTGATTGATCGGAAATGCTATAACTTTGGTGTTTGTAAAGTTAGGAAGTTGGGATTTTCTATGGGTTTTATTTTTGGCCAGTCAATCCTACCAAATTTCATAAGAATCGGCCGACTATATCCTATAGCTGCCATATAACTGAACGATTGGAAATGCAATAACTTTGGTGTTTGTAAAGTTAGGAAGTTGGGATTTTTTATGAGTATTAAGAATGCATCATATGAATAATTTTTGAGAATATAATTTACAGAGTATTCTGCAAGGGTATATCAACTTCGGCTCCGCCCGAAGTTAGCTTTCCTTTCTTGTTTTTAATTTATAAAGAGTTGACTATTAATTTAAATTAAGAGCTCAGCTCAGGTTTTGGAGTATATTTATTATTTTCTTATTTGTGTCTAGTAGAGGTATTCTAGTTAGAGGTAAAATATAAGGTGGTATAGATTAGCGATTTTAAGGAATTTTAAAATGTTTTATATGTTTGATGGTATTGGATTTGAAAGGAGATATATTGGGTTATTATTTTTAAAAATATTGCTTCTGCGACCCTGTAAAGTAGATAGTAACATACCTACACCCACATATCTACCATATAAATATATTTACACTACGCATTTGCCACACCCAAAATCATCGGCTCCCAAGAGTCGCCAATTAATATAAACATCCTCTTCAGTTATAAACAAATGAAAATTGCAGACGCAGCTCAATCCTAGATCGCTCTCATGCTCAGTGCTCTCAATTTGGACACTCTCAATTTATCATTCGCGTTCTCTCTCCCAATCGAAGGTTTGATAAGCTTGATAAGTTTGAGTTTTAAGTTGACCTAAGCAGACCTATATCTCCCGGTTCGCGTTTACACTATTTTGATAAATAAAAATTATATTTTTTTCAAAGTGTTAAGTCCCGAATTTGTTATTATATATATTATTGATCTGGATCGCGTCCTGAGTTGATATAAGCATGTCCGTCTGTCCGTCTGTCTGTTTCTACGCGAACTAGTCCCTGAAACTTTGCACACACCCTTTTGTCCTTTGCACGCTGTATATAAGTCGGAATGGCCGAGATCGGCCGAAAATATGCTGCCATATAACTGAATGGTCGAAAATGCCATAACTTTGGTTTTTGTAAAGTTAGGAAGTTGGGATTTTCCATGGGTTTTATTTTTGGCCAATCAATTTGACCTACCAAATTTCATAAGGATCGGACGATTATATCCTTTAGCAGCCATATAACTGAACGATCAGAAATGCCATAACTTTGGTGTTTTTTAAGTAAGGAAGTTGGAATTTTTATGAGTATTAAGAATGCATCATATGAATAATTTTTGAGAATATAATTTACAGAATATTCTGCAACGCAAACGGCGTTTCCCGGCTCAAAAACGAACTCGTACAGTTCCTAAACAGCCACAATATCAATATCATGCTACTTTCTGAAACCCAACCAAAAAAAAAAAACTTCTTTCAAATCAAAGATATATTTTTAAACACCAAAAACCCACCCAAAGGAAAAAAAAAAAAAAAAAAAAAAAAAAAAAAAAAAAAAAAAAAAAAAAAAAAAAAAAAAAAAAAAAAAAAAAAAAAAAAAAACAAAAAAAAAAAAAAAAAAAAAAAAAAAAACCAACCAAACAAATAAAACCCCAAAAAAAAAAAAAACAAAAATAAAAAAAAAAAAAAATTTAAATAAAAAAAAAAAAAAAAAAAAAAAATTAAGGAAAAAAAAAAAAACCACCCTTAGGTTATGTAATAATAACGCTTTTAATTTTATAAGTTTATGTACGTGTCGTGTTTATTCTGCCAGTCGAATCTGCACTGCTGCAGCCGAAAGCCTGGCTTCATATTTTAATTCGGGTTTTACAAATGTAGTCGCTGAATAGGTAGCGCGACAGCTTAGCGAGATAAGGCAAATATAAAGAGGAGAGCGCAAGAGCGCTGCAGGTTCAGCCATACACCTATGCGCACTAGACTAGGCGCTGGCGGGCTGCTCCGAACATACTCCCCCCGTTGGAGGAAGTAGGGCTCCAACTAAATGGGAATCGATGGGCAGAACGGCTAACTTGGCGACGGCTCTCTTGACTAGACCCGTAGCTGTACGGACCATAGCTACTCTGACGACACCGTCCTCGCCTGGAACGACTCCTTGGATGCACCCCAGCTGCCATTTCAAGGGTGGAAGGTTGTCCTCCTTCAGCAACACGATGCTTCCGACCTTGATGTTGGATGTTTCGACGCGCCACTTACTCCTTTCTTGGAGCAAGGATAAATACTCGCTGCTCCACCGCTTCCAGAATTGCTGCTGCATCTGTGTCACCCTTTGCCATCTGCTGAGGCGGCCTTCTCGGAGATGCGTGATATCAGGCTCAGGAAACCTTGTGTAGCTGGAGCCTTTCAGGAAATGGGCCGGCGTTAGCACCTCAAGACTTTCAGCGTTTTCTGAAATTGGACAGAGTGGACGGGAGTTAAGGATGGCAGAAATCTCATAAGCGAGAGTTCTCAATTCATCGAGGCCCAAGATGGAAGCACCGACGACTCTATAAAAATGAAATTTGGCCGATTTAACAGCCGCCTCCCATAAACCACCGAAATGTGGGGCACGCGGAGGTATGAACTTCCAATCAATCCCATCAGCTAAGCAGGAGGAAGCTATCGCAGCCGTGTGGGGTTCGCTCAGAAATAGATTCTTCAGCTCGGTTAGCTCGCTCTTAGCGCCGACAAAATTCGTCGCATTGTCACTCCAAATAGTGCGCGGAGTGCCTCTCAGGCTGGTGAATCTTCTCAACGCTGCGATGAAAGAATCCGTTGTGAGATCCTGGACGACTTCCAAATGCGTGGCCTTCGTAGAGAAGCAGACAAAGACGGCGATGTAGCACTTGTGAGGCGCCTTGTTGCGGGCCTCTGCCTTATGATAAAATGGTCCACAATAATCCACTCCCGTGGTATGAAATGCTGGGTTAGGCTGAACTCGATTTGCTGGCAGGCTGCCCATAACGTGCTCCCAAGTGACAGGCTTCATCCGAAAACATCTGACGCATTTGTTGATGACGGTAGCCACGAACTTTCGTCCTCCTGCCTTGGTAACTGGATGATCCTTGGGTAACAATATCGGATGCTGAGTATCGTAGTCCAGGCTTGCATTCTGAAGTCTTCCACCAACGCGAAGTAGTCCATCGGAGCCGATTATTGGTCTCAGCGAAATCAGCTTGCTCTTCTGTGGACACGGCCTGTCCTGGCTAAGACATCCATACTCCTTGGCTAAGTGAACCTGTTGGATGCTCCTCAGAAGAAGTACGGTCCCCAAATTGAGCTCCTCAACGGTAACACGGTTCCTTGAAAGTGAAGATTTTGCTCTGCAACTCGAAATGAACCGATAAATATACGCAAATACACGCTGCAACTTATGAAAAGAGTTAAGGAATTTGCAGTTGATCGAAATGTCAGTGCAAACAGTTCCAACTAGCGCTGCGGAACGACGTTCTGGAAGATCCTTAACTGCATTTGGAAGAGAGGGCCATTTTGACGAGCTTTGCAGCAGGAATGGAGGCCCGTTAGCCCACAGGGAGTGCTCCAGCAATTCTCTCGGGGTACAGCCTCGCGATACGACATCCGCCGGATTTAAGCTTGTTGGAACATGGTGCCAAGTCATGCCTTTTGTCATCTCCTGAATTTTCGCGATTCTGTTGGATACAAATACGTTGAAATCCCTCGGAGGCTGCCGAATCCACGCCAGTACGATAGACGAGTCAGACCAGCAATGAAAGTCGCATTCGAAATCGATGGTTTCCTTGACGCTTACGATAAGCTCCGCCAATAAAAGCGCTGCCGACAACTCCAATCTTGGAATTGTCAAAGCCTTTAAATGGGCCACTCTCGACTTGGCGCAGAGCAAATGGACCTTTGCTTTTCCATTGGCCTCTGACCGCAAGTATAAACACGCTCCATAAGCCGCTATGCTAGCATCGCAGAATCCATGCAACTGGATGGAAGCCTGAGGTTGCATTACGAATCGTGAAAATTTCAAGTTTTGGACGATCGATAACTGAGAGGTAAACTTCCCCCATGACGAAAGAATAGGCTCTGGTAATGTGTCATCCCAATCCACGTTAGCATTCCATAGGGATTGCAAAAAGATCTTGGCCTTTGTGACAATCGGTGTTATTAAACCGAGCGGATCATAGAATTTGGCTATTGTTGAAAGTGCAATACGCTTGGTGACTCGATGATTTACAGATAATTGAGAAAAGTTGAACAGAAGTTGGTCAGAAGAAGGATCCCAGGCTAATCCCAGCGCCTTGGTAACAGCTGATCCGTCGTGAAATTGAATTAGCTTCTCCTTATCGCAGTCAGACTCTCCTTCGAGGGCGCGTCCATCATTAGAACACCATTTGCGGATTGGAAAATGGCCTCGCGACAATAGATTTTTCACCTGACGACGAATTTCCCTAACCTCTTCAATTGACTCGCCACCAGAAATTAAATCATCCACGTGGAAGTCCCTACGAACAATTTTTGCTCCAATTGGAAACGAATCCTCCTCATCATAAGAGAGCTGATGCATGGCTCTTATAGCCAAAAAGGCAGCTGGCTTGGTACCATAAGTCACCGTGTTCAGTTTGTAAACACTCAACTCATCCGTGGAATTCTCTCGCCAAACAATACACTGCAAAAAGTCATCCGGGTGCGACACACGCACGCAGCGGTACATCTTGCAGATGTCTCCACAGAGGGCAACTTTAAAAAATCGGAAGCGAAGTAGAATGTTAAAGATTTTTTGCTGAATTGTTGGCCCTGCAAGAAGCAAGTCGTTCAGAGAGCTGCCAGAAGTAGTTCTAGCAGACCCATCAAAGACGACCCGAAGCTTTGTGCTCGTACTTTCCTGCTTATGTACACAATGGTGTGGCAAGAAGAATTGTGGTACTGTTGGATCCTTTGGTGCGAGAGACATGTGGCCTAAGTTGATGTACTCCTGGAGAAAAGCCGAATACTGAGCTTTGAGAACAGGGTTTCTATCTAGCTTAGCTTCCAAACTCCTAAAACGACGACGAGCTAGGCAATAGGAATCACCTAAACTTTCGAATCCCGAAGTGGATAAGAGACGAACAGAGTATTGACCATTCCCAAGTCTAGTGCAGTTTTCCTTGAACAGTTGTTCGCATTGCAAGTCCTCAGGCAACAGTGCTGGCTTTGATGGATTACAATCCTCAATTTCCCAAAATCGCTTTACTATGGCAGCAAGTGCGTCATCCTCAGAATGATCCGTAGTATCCTTGACAATGGCGGCTAAGACAGACTTATGATTTGGAGTAGTCGACATCCCACCAGAAACGATCCAACCAAGTTTGGTGTTTTGGAGTGTTGGCAACATGCTATCCAAATGTATTTGCCCCATAGCAATTATTTCGAAAAACAGACCAGCGCCAATTAACAAGTCGATTCGTTGTGATTGGTTGAAATAAGGGTCAGCGAGCGAAATGTTTTGTGGAATCCTCCATCCTGATGTATTTATGTTGAAATTCGGCTGATAATCAGTGATACTGTGAGTCACAACAGCTGTGAATGACGCACGATAGCCTGCATCCCGTGATTGCGCAAAAATATCCACTGATTTATCAGAGTTCATAGAGGACTCACCGATCCCAGAAATGAGTGTATGCGAATGCCTATATTTCAAATTTAACTGGCTAGCTAGGCGCGTAGTTATGAAGTTTAATTGAGAAGCAGAATCTAAGATTGCTCGACAGGGCATAAATGAACCAACCCTATTTTTTACATAGACAATAGCAGTAGGCAGCAACACGTAATTTATTGGCACAGTATTTGAAGCATTTGGTGGAGGGTGCGATACCTGACGATCAAGTTGTGAGCATGACACCAGTGCTGATGAAGTAGATGGTGATGGCTGAGAGCTCGAGAGTGGGTCTGATGATGGAGGTGGTGCGGATGAGTCAGGGGTCATATGCAATAGTGAGTGGTGTTTCATGCGACAATATCTGCAATGAGTTGATTTACATTGCTGCAAACTATGCCCCTTGCGCAAACAGTTTAGACAAAGGTGCATTTTCTTGGCTTCTCCAAATCGAAGATGCGGGCTCAAATTTAAAAATCGAGAGCACTTTGGCAAATAATGATCTCTCGCATCGCAAAATAGGCATATTGGATGATTTAAGTTAGTAGAAGACGCAATGAGTGCACTTGGGTTATATTTATGCACATTTTTTCCCACCTGATGGCCTGGTGTTTGCGTTACCAAAGCTTGATCCAAATTTTCCATCATCCTGCACCTCCTCTCCAAAAACGACTCCATAGCAGTCCATGAAGATAACTCAGCGATTGGCAAATCCTCTTCCCATTTTTCCCGAGTCCGTTGATCCAGCTTGTGAACGACTATATGAATCAGTAATCCATCCAAAATTTGCTGTGTAGTGGCCAGCGTATGGATTGCCCGAAGATGTGCGTTTAAAGAATCGCTGAGCTCACGAAGACCCTTGGCAGATCCCTTCTCGACACCTTTAAAACCAAATATTGCCTGAACGTGTGGCTGAAAATGTAAAACTTTATTATCAAATCGATTTATGAGCAGATTCAAAGCCTTTTTATAATTGTCATTTGAAGGTTCGAGCGAGCGTATGGTCTCCAGAGCCACGCCGCCTAGACTAGACCGTAAATATTGCAGCTTTTCAATGTCGCTTAGCTCGTCATCATTTCCAATGACCGCGGTAAACTTTGCGAGAAAGTCCGGCCACTTAGCATAAGATCCGTGAAAACGAGCAATCTCCAGGTTGGGTAATCGAGGCTTCCGTGTCCGAAAAGAAAGATCAGCATGGTGGTTGATGACTATAGATGTGGAGTTGGCAGCTGTGCTACCCGACAATTGCAATTTGCGCTGGGCAGCTAAGCCTCTATTGAGCTTCGCCTTCACATCCATAAAAACCTCCGAAAATTCCCATCGCCTATCACTCGAAGTCTCCTTTAAATCCAGCCGTTCCAGCGATGTCTGTGCGGAGTCAAATGACGAATTTAAGGAATTGACCCAGTCCAATCGCGCGAGAAGATCAGCTTCATCCAACTGATCTATAGACTCAGTTGTTAAATACAATTTCATCGCGTTTGTTTGCCGCAGAATTGATTGCACTTTGGCGCGAAAAAATTCGAATCGCGTTTTCTGGAGCAGCCATTTCTTAGTCGCACACAAAAAAAAATAAAAGAAAAATGTCCGAACCGGTTAAGAGGGGTGAATAACCTTTTAACTTTTGCCGCGAAAAATGCGCGGCACCAAGCGTCGTCGAAAACGCAACGGAACTTTGTTGTTGTTGTTCCGCCTTATAACAGCGGACTTGAAATTATGTATATATATGCACTGCACTATGCACTTTTAGAATAGTTAAATGTTATTCTCCTTTTGTTTATAATTTGCAGCACAACACTGTTTTGATTTTTTCACAGCGCGAAATGTACGAAAAGATCAACCGCCTGCCGGCTTTTCACAGCGCGAAATGTAAAACTTAAACGGCCAGCTGTGTGCACTTGTATGTAAGTCCGTGTGTTTGTAATATATTGATTAAACGATATTAAACAATAATAAAACCGAGTTGCAGACGGCAAATAAAACAGCGATCACGTCGGGGTCACCAAAATGTTTGGGGGAAGACAACAAAAATGCCACCCTTAGGTTATGTAATAATAACGCTTTTAATTTTATAAGTTTATGTACGTGTCGTGTTTATTCTGCCAGTCGAATCTGCACTGCTGCAGCCGAAAGCCTGGCTTCATATTTTAATTCGGGTTTTACAAATGTAGTCGCTGAATAGGTAGCGCGACAGCTTAGCGAGATAAGGCAAATATAAAGAGGAGAGCGCAAGAGCGCTGCAGGTTCAGCCATACACCTATGCGCACTAGACTAGGTTGGCGGGCTGCTCCGAACATACTCCCCCGTTGGAGGAAGTAGGGCTCCAACTAAATGGGAATCGATGGGCAGAACGGCTAACTTGGCGACGGCTCTCTTGACTAGACCCGTAGCTGTACGGACCATAGCTACTCTGACGACACCGTCCTCGCCTGGAACGACTCCTTGGATGCACCCCAGCTGCCATTTCAAGGGTGGAAGGTTGTCCTCCTTCAGCAACACGATGCTTCCGACCTTGATGTTGGATGTTTCGACGCGCCACTTACTCCTTTCTTGGAGCAAGGATAAATACTCGCTGCTCCACCGCTTCCAGAATTGCTGCTGCATCTGTGTCACCCTTTGCCATCTGCTGAGGCGGCCTTCTCGGAGATGCGTGATATCAGGCTCAGGAAACCTTGTGTAGCTGGAGCCTTTCAGGAAATGGGCCGGCGTTAGCACCTCAAGACTTTCAGCGTTTTCTGAAATTGGACAAAGTGGACGGGAGTTAAGGATGGCAGAAATCTCATAAGCGAGAGTTCTTAATTTATCGAGGCCCAAGATGGAAGCACCGACGACTCTATAAAAATGAAATTTGGTCGATTTAACAGCCGCCTCTCATAAATCACCGAAATGTGGGGCACGCGGAGGTATGAACTTCCAATCAATCCCATCAGCTAAGCAGGAGGAAGCTATCGAAGCCGTTTGGGGTTCGCTCAGAAATAGATCCTTCAGCTCTGTTAGCTCGCTCTTAGCGCCGACAAAGTTCGTCGCATTGTCACTCCAAATAGTGCGCGGAGGGCCTCTCAGGCTGGTGAATCTTCTCAACGCTGCGATGAAAGAATCCGTTGTGAGATCCTGGACTACTTCCAAATGCGTGGCCTTCGTAGAGAAGCAGACAAAGACGGCGATGTAGCACTTGTGAGGCGCCTTGTTGCGGGCCTCTGCCTTATGATAAAATGGTCCACAATAATCCACTCCCGTGGTATGAAATGCTGGGTTAGGCTGAACTCGATTTGCTGGCAGGCTGCCCATAACGTGCTCCCAAGGGACAGGCTTCATCCGAAAACATCCGACGCATTTGTTGATGACGGTAGCTACGAACTTTCGTCCTCCAATTGGCCAATACCTTTGCCTTAATGTGGCAAGTAACGCTTGCGATCCTGTGTGCAAGTATTTTCTTTGAAAATATACGATTCTTGGTAACTGGTGATCCTAGGGTAACAATATCGGATGCTGAGTATCGTAGTCCAGGTTTGCATTCTGAAGTCTTCCACCAACGCGAAGTAATCCATCGGAGCCGATTATTGGTCTCAGCGAAATCAGCTTGCTCTTCTGTGGACACGGCCTGTCCTGGCTAAGACATCCATACTCCTTGGCTAAGTGAACCTGTTGGATGCTCCTCAGAAGAAGTACGGTCCCCGAATTGAGCTCCTCAACGGTAACACTGTTCCTTGAAGGTGAAGATTTTGCTCTGCAATTCGAAATGAACCGATAAATGTACGCAAATACACGCTGCAACTTATGAAAAGAGTTAAGGAATTTGCAGTTGATCGAAATGTCAGTGCAAACAGTTCCAACTAGCGCTGCGGAACGACGTTCTGGAAGATCCTTAACTGCATTTGGAAGAGAGGGCCATTTTGACGAGCTTTGCAGCAGGAATGGAGGCCCGTTAGCCCACAGGGAGTGCTCCAGCAATTCTCTCGGGGTACAGCCTCGCGATACGACATCCGCCGGATTTAAGCTTGTTGGAACATGGTGCCAAGTCATGCCTTTTGTCATCTCCTGAATTTTCGCGATTCTGTTGGATACAAATACGTTGAAATCCCTCGGAGGCTGCCGAATCCACGCCAGTACGATAGACGAGTCTGACCAGCAATGAAAGTCGCATTCGAAATCGATGGTTTCCTTGACGCTTACGATAAGCTCCGCCAATAAAAGCGCTGCCGACAACTCCAATCTTGGAATTGTCAAAGCCTTTAAAGGGGCCACTCTCGACTTGGCGCAGAGCAAATGGACCTTTGCTTCTCCATTGGCCTCCGACCGCAAGTATAAACACGCTCCATAAGCCGCTATGCTAGCATCGCAGAATCCATGCAACTGGATGGAAGCCTGAGGTTGCATTACGAATCGTGAAAATTTCTAGTTTTGGACGATCGATAACTGAGAGGTCAACTTCTTCCATGACGAAAGAATAGGCTCTGGTAATGTGTCATCCCAATCCACGTTAGCATTCCATAGGGATTGCAAAAAGATCTTGGCCTTTGTGACAATCGGTGTTATTAAACCGAGCGGATCATAGAATTTGGCTATTGTTGAAAGTGCAATACGCTTGGTGACTCTATGATTTACAGATAATTGAGAAAAGTTGAACAGAAGTTGGTCAGAAGAAGGATCCCGGGCTAGTCCCAGCGCCTTGGTAACAGCTGATCCGTCGTGAAATTGAATTAGCTTCTCCTTATCGCAGTCAGACTCTCCTTCGAAGGCGCGTCCATCATTAGAACACCATTTGCGGATTGGAAAATGGCCTCGCGACAATAGATCCTTCACCTGACGACGAATTTCCCTAACCTCTTCAATTGACTCGCCACCAGAGATTAAATCATCAAGTCCCTACGAACAATTTTTGATCCTATTGGAAACGAATCCTCCTCATCATAAGAGAGCTGATGCATGGCTCTTATAGCCAAAAAGGCAGCTGGCTTGGTACCATAAGTCACCGAGTTCAGTTTGTAAACCCTCAACTCATCCGTGGACTTCTCTCGCCAAACAATACACTGCAAAAAGCCATCCGGGTGCGACACACGCACGCAGCGGTACATCTTGCAGATGTCTCCACAGAGGGCAACTTTAAAAAATCGGAAGCGAAGTAGAATGTTAAAGATTTTTTGCTGAATTGTTGGCCCTGCAAGAAGCAAGTCGTTCAGAGAGCTGCCAGAAGTAGTTCTAGCAGACCCGTCAAAGACGACCCGAAGCTTTGTGCTCGTACTTTCCTGCTTATGTACACAATGGTGTGGCAAGAAGAATTGTGGTACTGTTGGATGCTTTGGTGCGAGAGACATGTGGCCTAAGTTTATGTAATCCTGGAGAAATGCCAAATACTGAGCTTTGAGAACAGGGTTTCTATCTAGCTTAGCTTCCAAACTCCTAAAACGACGACGAGCTAGGCAATAGGAATCACCTAAAGTTTCGAATCCCGAAGTGGATAAGAGACGAACAGAGTATTGACCATTCCCAAGTCTAGTGCAGTTTTCCTTGAACAATGGCGGCTAAGACAGACTTATGATTTGGAGTAGTCGCATTGCAAGTCCTCGGGCAACAGTGCTGGCTTTGATGGATTACAATCCTCAATTTCCCAAAATCGCTTTAATATGGCAGCAAGTGCGTCATCCTCAGCGGCTAAGACAGACTTATGATTTGGAGTAGTCGACTGCAGCTTTTCAATGTCGCTTAGCTCGTCATCATTTCCAATGACCGCGGTGAACGTTGCGAGAAAGTCCGGCCACTCAGCATAAGATCCATGAAAACGAGCAATCTCCAGGTTGGGTAATCGAGGCTTCCGTGTCCGAAAAGAAAAATCAGAATGGTGGTTGATGTCTTTTAGATAGATGTGGAGTTGGCAGCTGTGCTACCCGACAATTGCAATTTGCGCTGGGCCGCTAAGCCTCTATTGAGCTTCGCGTTCACATCCATAAAAACCTCCGAAAATTCCCATCGCCTATCACTCGAAGTCTCCTTTAAATCCAGCCGTTCCAGCGATGTCTGTGCGGAGTCAAATGTCGAATTTAAGGAATTGACCCAGTCCAATCGCGCGAGAAGATCAGCTTCATCCAACTGATCTATAGACTCAGTTGTTAAATACAATTTCATCGCGTTTGTTTGCCGCAGAATTTATTGCATTTTGGCGCGAAAAAATTCTATTTCATTTGGCGCGTTATTTTGAGGCCGAACCGCGTTTTCTGGAGCAGCCATTTCTTAGTCGCACACAAATGAAAATAAAAGAAAAATGTCCGAACCGGTTAAGAGGGGTGAATAACCTTTTAACTTTTGCCGCGAATAATGCGCGGCACCAAGCGCCGTCGAAAACGCCACGGAAGTTTGTTGTTGTTGTTCCGCCTTATAACAGCGTCTTGAAATTATGTATATGTATGCACTATGCACTTTTAGAATAGTTAAATGTTGTTCTCCTTTTGTTTATAATTTGCAGCACAACACTGTTTTGATTTTTTCACAGCGCGAAATGTACGAAAAGATCAACCGCCTGCCGGCTTTTCACAGCGCGAAATGCAAAACTTAAACGGCCAGCTGTGTGCACTTGTATGTAAGTCCGTGTGTTTGTGACCGAATGCCCGCAAACGACAGCGAAACCAAAATATATTGTTTAAACGATAAACAGCGATCACGTCGGGGTCACCAAAATGTTTGGGGGAAGACAACAAAAATGCCTTAGGTTATGTAATAATAACGCTTTTAATTTTATAAGTTTATGTTACGTGTCGTGTTTATTCTGCCAGTCGAATCTGCACTGCTGCAGCCGAAAGCCTAGCTTCATATTTTAATTCGGGTTTTACAAATGTAGTCGCTGAATAGGTAGCGCGACAGCTTAGCGAGATAAGGCAAATATAAAGAGGAGAGCGCAAGAGCGCTGCAGGTTCAGCCATACACCTATGCGCACTAGACTAGGCGCTGGCGGGCTGCACCGAACAGTTAGGAAGTTGGGATTTTTATGAGTATTAAGAATGCATCTTATGAATAATTTTTGAGAATATAATTTACAGAATATTCTGCAACGCAAACGGCGTTTCCCGGCACAAAAACGAACTCCTACAGTTCCTAAACAGCCACAATATCGATATCATGCTACTTTCTGTAACCTCTGTCTCCTCTGTCTATCTGAACAGCCGCAGCTTTTGGAACGCCCCCAACATATAACATCAAACAAAACAAACTGGCTGAAGTACAGAAAATATGTAAGTGTACACATCGAACTTGATCCTGAAATTTCCTCTGCATCTGACATTGATAAGTCGCTTAAGCACCTCACGGACGTAATGTCCTCTGCCGCCAAACATTCTACGCCAGAACCCTCATCCACAAACCCGCTAAGAACTGGACGCTCAAGTATCCAGATCGAGTTTCTTCTACTTGAAAAACGTAGACTTCGCAGAGACTGGCAGACTCATCGGTCCCCAGTTACTAAGAAAAGACTTAATGAAGCATCTCGAAAATTGTCGAAGGCCCTCTCTGCCGAAAAGAACCAGGCCCAACGGGCCTACATTGCAAAACTATCCCCGACGGGTAATAAATTCCCACTATGGAGAGCTCATCTAAACATGCAACCACCAATAGATCCCGATTGGCCAATTCGATCACAAACAGGTGCCTGGGCGCGCAGTGACGAAGAAAGACCTAACACCTTTGCCCATCACTTGGAAAACGTATTCAAGCCTCACCCGCCATCCAACCAATTCACTCTACCGAATGTCTCGCAAGCGTCGCCGTCCTCCCCAGTTACCCTTGAACCCAGCACAATACTTAAGGCCATTAAAGAACACATAAACCCAAAAAAAGCTCCTGGTCACGATTTTATTTCTCCAAAAATGATAATTGAATTACCTGCATGCGCAGTCAGATGCATCGCATTTATACTTAACTCAATATTGAAATGGGGCTACTTTCCTGACCAATGGAAAAAGTCTGTCATTACAATGATCCCGAAGCCAGGAAAAGACAAATCCCAGCCTTTCTCGTACCGGCCCATCAGTCTGCTCCCATGTCTATCAAAGCTATTTGAAAAACTGCTTCTTGTTCATCTAGTAACACATCTTCAAAACAACAGAACGATCCCTCTGCACCAATTCGGATTTAGGGAAAAGCATGGAACTATCGAACAGGTAAACTGCTTAACATCTGAAATTCGCACGGCTTTCGAACACAATCAATTGCAGTGCCTCATTTCTGGACGTATCACAAGCATTTGATCGCGTTTGGATTGACGGTCTGGTATACAAAATCAAAACCCTCCTACCGGAAAACACTCACAAGTTGCTTGAGTCATACCTCAGAAACAGAGTTTTCACCGTGAGATGTAAAACCTTTACTTCAACCATCCGTAACATCGAAGCTGGAGTACCCCAAGGAAGTGTGCTTGGACCAATCTTGTACATCCTTTACACGACAGATATTCCAACAAGCCGCCAGACCCTCATCTCAACTTTGCTGACGACACTGCCATTGTCAGCCGCTCGAAATGCCCAAAAACAGCTACAGCCCATTTAAAAGAACACCTGGTACCTGTAGAAAAATGGCTCGCAGACTGGCTTATCAAAGTCAACGAGCAAAAGTGTAGGCACATTACATTTACACTAAACTTGTCGAAATGCCCACCACTGGCGCTAAACAACAAGCCGGTTCCACAAGCAGACGAAGTCACCTATCTCGGCATACACTTAGACAGGAGGCTTACCTGGAGAAAGCATATAGAAGCAAAGAAGACCCATTTAAAACTAAAGGCCAGCAGCCTTCACTGGCTCATGAACTACCGCTCCCCCCTTCCACTCGAATATAAAGTACTACTGTATAACTCGTGCTTAAAGCTGATCTGGACCTACGGTTCCGAGCTCTGGGGAAACGCAAGCAGCAGCAATATAGAAATTATTCAAAGAGTACAATCAAAGACCCTACATACAATAACTGGAGCCCCCTGGTACATCAGCAACGCCAACATCCAGAAAGACCTGGATATAAATCCCGTAAAAGAATAAATTGCTTCCAGAAAAATTAAATATGAGGCCAGATTATCAAATCACCCAAACCTGCTAGCCAGACAACTCAACCGGCTAAGCTATCATTCCCGTCTACAGCGGAATGATTTCCCATCCCTCTTCAATAACATAAATTAAAGTAACATAGATTAAGATTTGAAAACTTATTGTTAGTCTCTTAAGTAATAGAGAAGATCCAATAAATAAGAATAAAGTATAAAAAAATAAGTAAGAATAAGTAATGCGTTATATAACTCCCCCCATCCTAAATTGAATCGTCCCGATTCATTGGAACTGAAGGGTATATTGATTGTAATTGATTAGTCAGTTCGACAATGATATTTTCTTCTAGGGTGTTTT